TGATAAGTTTTCAAAATTTATTAAATAAATTTTAACATTATCCTGATTCTTCGACGAAATTCTAAAAATTTTAAATAAATTTTAGAATTATCCTAACTTTCTAACAAGATCCTAAATAAAATATTTTTTTATGATAATTAAGGGATTTGATTAACTAATTATTTAATTTTTATTATGATTATTTTTTGTTATTATTTATTGTTTGTTGTTTTTATCTTTTTATTATATTATTTTAAAAAACTTTTAGATTATCTCAACTCACGGTAAAATCTAAAAATATTAATCTTTTACTTGTATTAAAGAAAATCAAATTCTTTTAATTTTTTTTAAAATTATATATTTTTTTAAAAAAAATCAAAATATCAATTATTATTATTGTTTCATTTTAATTTTTTATTATTTTATATTGTTTAAATAAACCTTTATTCTAGTAAAAATAATTTTGGATTATTCCAACTCTATGGTGAAATCTAAAAAATTATTTTTATTTGCAATAATTAAAGTAAACCAAACTTTTTAAAAATTATATTTAACAGATTCATTTAAATAAGTTATCATTTTTTATTTTATTTATCTTTTTTATAATTTTATTATCATTTTCTAGCAAAAATTATTTTTAAATTATCCCAACACCTTGGTGAAATTTAAATAACATTTTTGCTTGTGATAAATTTTTTTAAATAGTTATTATTATTATTAATTTTTTTTCATATTATATTTTTTAGGTCCATATTTTATTTTAGTTCTGTTTTTCATTTTATTTATTTATTTCTAAAAGAATTATTACTAGTAATAATATAAAATAACAATAATATCATAAAAATAAAATAAAAATCAACACAAAATTAAAAAAATAAAAATCAAAACAGAAAATAAAAAGAAAAGGAAAGGAAAAACCTACCAAATGTGTCGGGTTGGAGCGCAGGTTAATGTGTGAATCCTACACAAGTTTAGGCGCTAGTTAGACACCCAAAACAGTTATTTTGGAGGCCTATAAATAGGCCTTTTTCTTTTTTTTAAAAAAAATTTTCCTTTATTCCCCTTCTCTTTACCCTTCAAAGCCTCTCTCTCTAAAAATTTATCTTTTTCACCGACTGTCGTGGCAACCCAAATTTTGATAGCTCGTCATCGTATATCGGTGGTCGGAATCTTCAATGGTCTCAAAAAATTTAAAATTTCTCAAATTCCAACGATGTACTCAGATTTTGGTCATCGAAAACTTCAAAGGTCACTAGAAGATTCAAAGCTTTTTAGAATCTGATGAACCAAAATTTTTTAAAAAATTTTTTAAAAAATCCCAAATTAATCCTTTTTGTTTTAAACACTTTTTCAAAACTAGAGTTGTAAAAAAAAAAAAAAAAACTCCAACCTCCTAGATTGAGAATTTCATTCTTAGAAGGTCTTTTCTTGTTTTTAAATTTTTTTTTTGTGTTTACTGTTGATTCCTCTGTCAAAGAGGATTGTGATTTTTGATATTTTTTGCTTGTGTGTGTTTCTTGTCTTTTTTTTTTTTTGGGGGGGGAAAAACCCCTAGACTTCCTTTGGTGTTGTTTTTTTCAATTTTTCCTTTTTCCTTTTTATTGTATTTCCCTCTTTTTTCTCTCTTTTTATGTTTTACAAAAATTAGTTCTATTTATGGAGCTTTTGGAATTCAAATTCCAGATTCCTTAAGATCTTTTTGTGAAAAAATTTGAAGATCTGTCTGATGACTTTGATGATCAAATTTTATACTACCAAGTTAAGTAATGTCTAAAAAAACAAAAAAAATTTTGGCAGCTTGATTTCAGCTACTAAAGTTGAAACCAAAAATTTTCTTTGACTTTTTTTTTACTTTTTTATTTTTTTAAAAGATTAATTAATTAATTAATTAATTAATTAATAATAATAATAATAATAATAATAATAATAATAAAAAAATTATATTTAAGTTAAAATAAAATTAGACAAAATTAGTACCTACACTCACTACAAGTTAAAACCCTTCTTTTTCTCTCTCATTAAATTCAATCTTTCTCTTTTAAAAACAAAATCTGGAAATCTATTCCTTCTCTTACTTGCTAGGGTTGAAGGAGTAAAATTTCATTAATAAGATTTCAGCATTAACATAACATCGAGGTACTGCTATATTTCTTTTTTTTTTTAATTTAAAAAATTATTGATGAATTCTAACAAACATAGAAAAAAAATCACTACAAGTATTATGTAAATATTGTATTCATGGTGTTTACTCTATCTTTTTATGGGATGGGAATTAACTTAAATACAAAAAACATGTTGTTCATGGTGGCATCAACGAGATGGGGAACAAAACCAAAGTAGTGTGACAAATATGCAATTTTTAAACAAAATATATTTTAAAATCCAAAAGTTTTTGTCAATTTTTTAGATTTATATCAATCCCTAATCCAAATATGCAGTTTTGTAAAGGGTTTTGATTTGGATATGCTTTGTTATGTTATAATTTTTTCTTAGTTTGTTTTAGGAACACACATGATGAAGTTGGTGCTAGTTAATTCTAAAGATAACAGAACAAGAAAAAAATATAGTAGAAGAAGGGGGAAAAAGAAGAAGAACAAGAGATGAGCAGTAAAGAGAAGGGATGTTAATTCAGTTCTCCAGAATAACAGTATTTCTTTCCTCATTCTGTTTTTTAGCTAGTAACCAGGCAGTTGCTACATTCTTGGAATCTCTGATGACAAGATACATTCTCTTTCCTCCTCCTAACAGTATTGATAGCTATGCATAATAGATGGGCCAAGCTCAACTTAAGCCTTACAAAAAAATAAAGTCCAATGGTAATAAAAAGTAACCCAAATCCATATTCAATTATTTTTGGTCTACAACAGTACTCCTTCCATGGAGATGATCCTTGTCCTCAAGGTTCAAATGCGAGAAACTTCTTTTGCAATTCAAACAACATCTCCCAAGTAGCATCTTCAGGAAAAGAATTGGTCCATTCAACTAAGACTTCAGTAACGGCTCTGTTTCCCCTCTTAACCATTCTTCTAGCCAAGATCTTAGTTGGCTCCTTCATCATTGATCCATCATCATCCACAGCAGGTAAACTGGATTGCACCATTAATCTGCCAACATGTTTCTTTAATTGTGAAACATGAAATGTGAGGTGGATTTTGGAATTACTAGGCAACTGTAACCTATATGCAATCTGACCGATCTTCTCCAAGACTCTATAGGGTCCAAAATATTTATCAACAAGTTTGTTACAGCTCCCGTTCTTCACTGTTTGCTGTCTATAAGGCTGTAACTTGACATATACCAGATCTCCCATCTCGAACTCCCTATCACTCTTTTTTTTTTAGCCATGCTCTTCATCCTTATTTGAGCTCTGGACAAGTAGAACTTCATCATTTAAATTACAAACTATCTAGCTTGCAAGCTCCTATCTACTGTTTTTACAATTGAATCTCCTGCTAAGTATGGCAAATAGAATGGAGGAGGTTACCCATACACCACTTCATAAGGAATGGAGTTAATAGCTGAATGATGGCTGGTATTATACCACCATTTTGCCAAAGACAGCCATGTAGTCCATTCTCTAGGAGTTTCACCCACCATGCATATCAAGTAAGCATTAGAACAACAGGTGTGAGGTAAACATCAGAACAAAAGAGTTGGGTGTAAAGTTTGCTATCTCAAAGGCAAAGAATGCCATTTTTTAGTTCAGTCAAAATGTGGAAGAGGAGGAGACAATAAAAAGGAATACGTTCTTAAACATAGACAATCAAGTAAAGTAGTTATGCCCAGAGGAAGGTTGGCTGAAAGTGAACTGTGATGGAGCCTTTTGTCAAAAAACTGGAAACCTAGGTATTGGGATGGTTATAAGGAATGATAGGGGTTAGTTTGTTGGAGGTGCAGGGAAGATTCTACTCTCTCAACAGAAGCAATAACGCTTAAAACAGGGGTGGAAATGATTGTTGAAAATAAGTTTCAAAAGGTAATAATAGAGATAGATTCAAAAGTTCTATTTAAAAACTTAAACATGGTAAAGGAAATGCAAAATTTGAGGCTTAGGCCTATACTACAGGATGTTATGCAGTTATGAGAAGATATACAGGAAAAGAAGTTTGCATTGATTAAGGGACAAGCCAATAAGGCTGCAAATTAGGTAGCCAGACAGTCAAAAATAGGTTGGCTTAGGCAACCTTCATCACCATTGGTTGGGATTTTGAGTAGAGATGGGCTACCAACGCCTCATTAACTAATATAGAAGAGATAATTGGTGGATTAAAGTTTCTTTAAGCAGATCTTATGTTCACAATTGTCTACTGTTGCTTGTATAAAGGATGTTTGTAAACAGTTGCTATCCATAATATCGTTACTTTCACGGAAAAAAAATTTGAAGGAATTTGAGGGAACGGAATCCCTTTTTCAAATTTTTATGATACCCAAACAAGGAAAAAGTTTCTCCATTTTCTTTCTTTAATTTTCTTTCCCACCCATTATCCTAATCTAAATATAGTGTAAAGAAGATGATATAAGTGTCTTTGGAGAAGTATGTATTTTTATAAATTATTGTATTTGATTTTTTTATTTTTTTTATTTAATCTCAAATTTAGTTATGTTTAAATTTTCATAAATATTTTTTATAGTTTTATTTTCCTATAAATATTTATTGAAATTTAATTTAAAAAATTATGGAATCAAAACAATTCATTAACTTTTTAATTATTTTTTTGAGCTAACAAATATCATATTTATCGAGAGTATTTCAATTATGATTCTGTGTATTACAATATTATAATTAATCAACCGTAAAAAAAAAATTATATAAAATTTTATCATTTAAAAATATGAATATTACATAATTTTTTATAAACTTTATATAATATTAAATTATAATTAATTAACTATACTATAATAATTATAAATTATATCCTCGCTATATTCAATTATTTAATCTTCATTTCTCAAAACATAAACATGGTTAATTTGACAAGAAGAGTAAAGTTCTAATTTAAAAAAAAAAAAAGGTAATCATAAAAAAGTTTCGAATAGAGTAGGCTACGACAGGTTCAACAGGTCACAAGAACCAAAACCTAAACCCCAACTTACACAAACTAAAAACATCCGAAAGATTTAGCCCAAACAACGAAAAGCTGAAAGAACTTCTAGCCGCTGCCAGCTACCGCTACTGCCGTCGTCATCACCAACCTCCTTTCTTCTCATCGCAGTTTCCCTCAGCCGCCGCCGGCCTTTTTTCCATCATCGTTTCCTCCTCTTTTTATTCCCAACATTACTTTCTTTTCAAATCAGCTGCGTCAAAAGTAAAAAGGAACAATGCGGGGATGGTGGAGACTAGGAAAATGGACGGTCCTGATTATGTTCCTTCACATCATAGCCATTTTAATCTTTACCAAAGGCTTTCTCTTAACCCGAACTGAACTTCCCCATTCCAGCAACTGCTCCGATCTTTCTGAATCTCCTTGCCTTTCTTCTTCTTCTTGTTGGACCAAGCCTGTCGTTGACCGTCTCATCATCATCGTTCTCGACGCGCTGCGTTTTGATTTCGTAGCTCCAAGTTCCTTTTTTGAACAAAAACACCCTTGGATGGACAAATTGAAAGTGTTACAGAGAGTGGCTTTAGAGAAGCCTTCCTCAGCTAAGATTTTTAAAGCTGTTGCTGATCCCCCAACTACCAGTTTGCAACGTTTGAAGGTTTCTTCTTCTTCTTTTTTTTTTTTACATTGTTATTTTTTTTCTTCTGGAAATAGCCATTAATGAATTTTCTTTTATTGATGGTTCAGGGATTGACAACAGGGGCACTCCCTACTTTTATTGATGTTGGGAATAGCTTTGGTGCTCCTGCAATTGTTGAAGATAATTTCATTAATCAGGTGTGCGTTTTCCAATTCCTCTCTCTCTTTATTTTATGCCCATTTGTTTCATCGTTACTCTTTTTGCTTATGAAAGTAAAAAACAAAAGGTGGGCTTTGAATATAAATGCGCATTTCTTTCTTTTTTTTTTTTTTTAATTATATGATTCTGCCTTTATATAGAACAATTATGTTGGAACAGTCTTGGATTTTAGTTTTTTTTTTTCTTCAACTTAATTAGTCGATTATTGTTTTACACTTTGACTTTCTACCTTTTTCCTTTCCTTTTAGGGAGGCAAAATTTAAGTAGCAAAAGTAATAACCAAATGAAATACTAAATATGTTAATGTTGTTTGTCATTCTAATGTTGGTTTTGTTTATTCTTTATTCAGTTGATTCAAAATGGGAAGAGAGTAGTAATGATGGGAGACGACACATGGACACAATTGTTTCCAAATCATTTTAACAAATCTTATCCTTACCCTTCTTTTAATGTTAAAGATCTTGATACGGTATGCAATGTTTTTAAATGGTCAATTCATTATGACACACTCTATTTGTATTCTAATTGCTGTGATATATTGTATTCTAATTGCTGCGATATATGACACCTTTTTTCTTTTATTCAGGTAGATAATGGATGCATTGAGCACCTTCTTCCGTCACTGGATGAACAAGACTGGGATGTCCTTATTGCGCATTTTCTTGGTGTGGTATGATTAAATGCTTTATTTGAATTGATATTAGATAGTCGTATACTTGCACTTTTTTTTTTCTAATTCTTTGTGCGGAGCTATTTTCCTCTACCTTATTGCCTGCTCGAGCTAAGTGTTATGTTATTCTTACTGAAATCTAAGTCAATATTAAAATTGATATTAAAATTGGAATATATCAAGTGTTGCCAAATGATATGTTCTCATTGTTTGATTCAACTTTTGATTCAAATGTCTTGATTGAAAGCTGCTGTAGATGCTTCTCATGTTTCTAAAATTACAGTTTAAGTGGCTATGTTGCAAATTTGGATTTTATGAACTTTTATGTGTCAGGATCATGCAGGGCACATCTATGGTGTTGATTCCACTCCAATGATTGAAAAGTTGGAGCAGTACAATGCAATTTTAGAGGTAATTTCTTGAAGTAATAGAACTGAGTGCTGCGTTCAAATTATTTACTATTATTGGCATCTTGCTTCCGTGAATTATCCATCCTTCTTTATTCTATAAAGTCTTTTGACTTCACTTCTACGAGATTTTTTTGATAATAAACATTCCCAACCCAAACCTACCTGTTGTGCAAAATTTTCTATTGAGAACTTATTTTTGCAATTATTATGCTTGTTTTATTTTTCAAGATGCTTGACGTGGAACATATTTTTGTAGGCAAGAAACTTATGTTTACTTTCATTTTTATCCCTCTGTTGTTTCCTAAGAGTCCATTTATTTTTTAATCTTATATGTTTCTGCCTGACGTCTTGTTGGCTTCAGAAAGTAATTGAAGTACTCCAAAAGCAGTCTGGACCTGGCAAGTTACATGAGAATACTTTACTTCTTGTAATGGGTGACCATGGGCAAACCTTAAATGGGGATCATGGAGGAGGAAGTGCTGAGGAGGTCTGATGCTTATCCTGATCTGTACTAGATAGAAATTTTATTTTATTATTTGGTTTTTCAGTCTTTTAACTCGAACCATCATGCAGGTTGAAACATCAATATTTGCTATGAGTTTTAAAGATTTGCCTTCTGTGCCATCTGAATTTGATTCTTCATCTTGTAAGGTAGATTTTGGTATTTCCTGTCTCTTTCAATTTTGCGTATATATATATATATATATATATATATATATTGTTAGCTTCTAGGTAGAGTTGAGATGTTATCCTTTTTCTTAGGCTGCTTTTCTCTGGCTTGTTGATAACCATGGAAAAAGGGAAGGAGAAAATGACATAAGACATTAACATTAGAGAAAGCCTTAGCTGTAATTTTTTATCAGGGGTCTTGACTATAATTTTATATTAGGATTCTGCAAACCTCATCATTTATTAAGAGACAAAACTTTGTGAGGTGTTAACAATTTTATAAAGTTTTAGACCATTTATGTATCATTCTAATGAGCCAGAGTTTTTTTCTTTTCTCATTTTCATCCTTCAGTTGCAGGCTAACAATAATATATGCATCAGCTCCATTCAACAGGTTAGAATGGTCTTTTATTACTTTTTGCAGTCTCTGATCACTTGCCTTTGATTCTTTTCTTTTAAAACAAAATTTAAGTCACGTCGCCTCTTGCAGCTGGATTTTGCAGTAACAGTGTCGTCACTGCTTGGTGTCCCCTTTCCTTTTGGAAGGTGCCGTGTAAGCATTCTTTCAATTATCCTCTATATTTTTTAGATTTTTTCCCTGTTTTTGTCAGCATTTGTTGTTTTATTATGTTTTAACATTTAATTTCTTGGACTTCTTTTAGAGTCATTTTATGACCCCTAAATATATGAATCTTGTCCGTTGTGTTGGAATAATATTATGTAAAATACCCTCGGGATTGACCTTCTATATATGTCCCAAAAAGGCAAGGTATTTTTCTTTCTGCTGTTTTCCTCTGATACATTGTCTTTATTGCTACCTCAGCATGTTAGTGGAATGCCCCTGATGTTTAATTTTCTATTGGCTAATTAACTAAATGCAATTATCAATTTTTTGTACAGAAAATTTCAGGAAAAAGCTGTTACTCATCTCTTCATAAAAATTAGGCAAAAAACTTACGCATCTTTTTCCGAAGACAGTCTTTTTTTCTTTTGCATCCTCGGGATTTTATCATTGCAGGAGACAGTGGCTATGAGTGGAACAAAAGAAGGCTTCCAGTGCAACAAACTTCTATTTCACATGAAGTTGCCTTCTGTCAACACATTTTTGTTGTTTTTTTTTTTCCCTTAAAAGATAGATTGCGGAAACTGATTGTTTTTGACAATGGCTTTTCATCTTGCTTATGCTTTATGATATTTGGGAGCTGTGAAGTCTCTGTATACTTAAATGCATGTCTTGATTTATGGTTACATCCTATTGACATCAAGTATGCTCATCTGCATTGGGTTGTAATGTTCTTTTTACTTTTCATAGTTCCAACAAATTTTCCATCAAAAGTGCCATGCTATTGATTCACTTCCCCACTCTTTTTGCAGCATTGGACGTGTTAATCCTGAGTTATATGCTCTAGCTGTGGGTACATGGAACTTGGAGGACAATGAAATGGGTAAGGCTCAGGATCAAATAAAGTTGGAAGAATGGATGCAAAATTATGTTAATGTCCTCTGCATCAATTCATGGCAGGTATTGTTTTTTTTCTTGGGTCTTGGTCTTGGGCTTATGGGCATCAACCTAAATGAGAAGTTTGTACACTATATTTTTCTTTAAAAAAACAAGTACAATTTTTTATTAACTATACATTGCTTGATAAGATAACAGTAGCAATCAGAAATATAGGGATTATGATAAGACATAGCTGAAGGTACAACATGATATATTATTTGTTAGAGGCACTCTTCTTGGTCACTCTATTCGTTTCCACTCTCATATAAATTCTTCTTGTGCAGGTGAAAAGATATATTGATGTCTATTCGGCTTTATCAGTTATTGGATTTTCCTCTGAAGACATATTCCACATATCAGATTTATATGCCAAAGCAGAGGAGAATTGGTTATATACTAAGAATTTATTGTTGTACAAAAATGAAAGTTACAATGCATCATTGCCAGATCTTAAAAGGCAAATAGTTGCCTATTTTAATTTTCTTTCTTATGTTGCTGAGCTAGCTCGCTCAAAGTGGACTGAGTTTAATTTAAAGATGATGGGCACTGGTATTGGGATTATGTTATTATCATTATATATTCATTTCCTTGCCATTAAGAAGGTGAATAAGTCATATGGTGTCTCTCTTCTTTCATCCAAAGGTTCTGGAATTTCCTTTGGGTTAATGTTTGCTTCCTTTATAGTGGTGATACGTGCATGCAGCCTACTTTCAAATAGTTTCATTTGTAAGTTCCTGAATCTAATATTTGGTTATTACATGCAAGCACTTTTCATTCTTGTTGCTGACATTCACACTATCTTTTCTTTCTTACTTGAGATCAGTGGGAGAGGGGAAAGTTGCAAATTTCCTTTTGGCCACAACTGGCATCATAACATTACGTTATTCTTTCATAAAGAAGGAGATGCTACTTGAAGTGAGTATTGCACTCCTTGAATGTTAAATAAGTTTTAAGTACACACTCATATCCCTCTTTTCTCTCCCTCTTTTCCCTGTGCTGTAAATCTGTAAGAAATCAATTTAAGAAAATTACTTTCATGTTGCTAATTTGTCTTGAATGTACCCAGGCAACTATTTTTCTTCTTTCCACATTCATTCTTAGGATTGCCATTGAAGCTGGGCTGTCTAAGCAAGCTGCCACTTCTCAGTTCCTGAATGTATCCTCTGCATGGATGCTTGGGATTTCTATAAGCCAACCGGTGTGGACATATATGGCTGAAACTGTTCCAATTCTTGCATTAATAATATTAGGATACTTTCTTTACAAGGCCATTTCTAGCTGCTGTTGTTGGGGAATTCCGGAGTATGTTATCATGGGAACAATTTTATGCTATTTGCTCATAGCATTGCATTGGGCCACTGAAAGCAACGTACTGGATCTGGCCCTTCTGCTTAAAGGAATTGAAAAAAATTACATCCCTCGGACAATTTATGCTATTGGACTTATTCAGCTGTCATTGTTGGCATTTGTTCTGCTCTTCAGCAATAAGGAAACGTCGAACTACAAGGGAAGCTTGTTTGTTAAAATGATACCTATTTTATCTGCATGCAGTTCAACCGTTATTATTCTCCTGGGAAAACAAGGTCCCTTGGTTGCATTAGGATCCATAGTAGCAGGTGCTTTTTGCTTGCTGTAGTATTTACCTGGGCTGCACATTTGGTTTTGATTTATTTTTTGCCTTGCCAGACTATGGAGTTCTATTTGACTGGATAAAGATTATCAGATTTTTTATTTTCATGACCTTGTACCAGTGCATGCTTCTAAATGATGACTTACATTTTAGCATTCCTTTTTACAGGTTATTGCATAATGAGGCTTGAAGGAATAGAGCAGCATACTGTTGATGGAGCTCCAGGAATTTCAATTTTGGATCCTCTACCTATTGTGCAGTGGAATCTGTTAGCTGTGTGTCTGTTTTTTGCAACTGGTCACTGGTAAGATGAATGTAACTCCATGTGTGCCAAACATGTTTGGTATTGACATTCTTGGGTTCATTAGTTGGCTAATTCTGTTCTTATGTTAGAGGTAGATCCTTCTTCGAGTGGTCGATTTACTTTTTCCCTAATTTTATTGTTACTGTGTGTGTGATGTGTATCCATGTAAAGAACTTTACTAGTAGAAGCAACTGTTCCTGAATCTGTAATAAATCTTTCTTCAGGTGTGCTTTTGATGGCCTGCGATATGGTGCTGCATTTATTGGGTGAGTCTTTTATTATGTGTGAATTTTTTGCATCTTCCATCCCAGAACTAACCTGCCAACAAAATTCTTTAAAGAATAAGCAACTTGGCTTCGATGATCGCTTTTATATCTTTCTTGGTCACAAAATTCATAGGTGGCTGATTTCCCATTATAGTATGCGGCATTCTTTTTAATAGAATCATGCAACGATGTATAGCTTTTTTACCAAAGAGATGTATTTATTGACCCTCCTTACATTTTCAGGTTTGATGAGTTCATTCTTGTACGACAAGCTATCCTTCTTGCAATTGATACATTTGGATTTTCTCATATCCTTTCTGTATTTGGGCTGCCACTTTTTGTTGCATGCCCATCTCTGTTCAATCAGACCGGCCGCAGTCGAAGTGTCTCTTCTATGAAGTTATTTCGGGTAAGTCTTTTTACTAAGGTTACTATATTCCTAAAGATGTGTCTGGTATATAGGGATGCAATGAGACAAAGATGAGTAAATTGTCTTTATTTTTAGCACATGATTTTGATGTATGCACTCAATTCTCATCTTATTTTAGGAAATTATATCTATGCGAAATTATTAAATCTTACTCCTTTGTACAGAATTGGGTATATCTGATTGCTATCCCAATTAATTCTTTATGCTGATCAGAAGCAAATGATAATGATTGTTCGTTCTTGTTTTAGATACTTATGATGTACGGACTCATTACGGCTACTACAGCCACTGCCACTATACTTTGCGTCGCCGTCCAAAGGCGGCATCTAATGGTACAAAAGACTTTTCGTTGTAACGTTGTTCCTATTAATACCAATCTGACCATATTTGACACCCAAGAAAATCTGCCTTTTTCTTTCCATGCAGGTGTGGGGATTATTTGCTCCCAAGTTTGTTTTTGATGTGGTGGGGCTTATTCTTACTGATGTCCTCATTTTTTGGGCATTCATTTACTATTTTTAGTGCCGAGGATCGTATTGGTACGCAAGGTTCAGAAACGAAGTGCAGCATTTTGACGCATCCCTTCTGTACTATTCAGTTTCTTATAAACTTTTTTCAATTTTTTTTTTTTTTTATACAAAGAGATCGTAGTTTGATGATGGTAGTACTGAAATTTAAATTTTAGACTTTGAGGTCACATCTTTCAACTTCTGATCAACAATCAATCAATCTAGCAAACTTATCAAAGCATACTACCCAATTTTTCATTATATCTTCTCCACACAGGATGACTCAAAATGACATAAATCATTGACAAAACATAGGGCATTCCAGTTTCCCTTGTGGAAGCTTCCAAGCTTCTAGAAGCTCCAATAAGGAAGGAGAAGTTCGGACATAGAGATGAAGCAAATTCAACTACGTCATCAGTTTTGAGCAACTTGACAAGCTCTTTGGTAGCATCTGAAAACAATTTGATTTCAATAGAATTAATCTTAATGCAATAATTATTTCAGTTTTAGTTTCACGGGACGATTTGAAAACAGTTTTAGAAACTCTTCCTTCCCCTCGAACTCAGTTCGAGTATCATTATCACCTTCGATTACTGCAACTAAATAATACCAAAATAAATAAATAATGAAAATTATTCAATCCAAATTTCATTATTAGGGTTTAAAGGGTTTGATGTGTAACATCCTATGGAGCTAAGGAAGAATGCTCGTAGGTATAAATGTTTGGTTTTAGATTATTAAAAATTAAGTAAGAATGCTTATAGTTAGATATGTTTGAATTGTAATTGTTTGAGTTTGAAAATATTTGTTAAAATTGATATAATTGTAATTTTTTATAATAGATGAATATTTTCTCTCATTTATAAAGACATGTAAAGGTATTTAACCATATTAATTCTCGGTTTTTATGTGTATAATTTTTTATTTTTTTTATTTTTTTTTCTTTAGATGATGATTGTGGGTTTGATTTAACAATCGTTTCACTAAATTCAATTAAATCTTGAATAATTCAATTATTTTTAGAATATTAAATAAAATTATTCAATAATCAAATATTTAAATAATCTCTTTTGATAATAAGCAAAAATACTTTTTTATCACCAACTAAATTATCCAATAAATTCATATCGATCAATTAATTAACCAAACTGTGCACATCCCTATCCAATACAACATTGTCAACTATTGAACTTGCTTATTTCTTTAAATTATATCTAGCTCTAACTATTAAATTTAGGATATGACGAAAGAAAAAACTATTAAATTTAGGAGGTTCAAACTTTTTGTTTATTTGTTGCACATCACTATTAGAATTTTGTTTATTATCAACAGAATTTTGTTATCGTTAATTATCAACGAATTATTGACAGAATTTAAAAAAAAAAAAATTTTACCGACAAAATTAAATCCGTTGGTAATCCATAGCTAAAAGTGTAGCATGAATTGCCGTTAATTTTACCAACAGATTTTTTTATTGATAAATCTATCACTAAAAAGTATTGACGGATTTATCGACATAAAAATTTATTGATAAAAAAATTTAATAGTATCGATTGAAATTCCATTGTTAAAACTGTCGGTAAAAATTAATTTTTTTTTTTAAAATTTAATATTACCAACAAACCAAAAGAATTTCAAATCCTCCCTTAGGCAATTCAAAATTTTCCCCAATTTCTTTCCTAAATCCCTAATTCCTTTTCCCCTCCCCTTTCCCACTCTCCCATTCTCCCTTCCCCCTTCCTCCTCTGCCTCTCCTTACCACCTTACCATTCTCTCTCTCCATCCAAGTGCGTCGGCTGACTTCAGTATTGCCCCTCCCTCTTTGAATTCAATATCTTTGAAAAGCACTAATTTCATAAATCCATTGTTTAATCTTGACAACGTTTTGTCTTCCTCTGTAATATATAGCCTAAAAATCTTATTCTTGACTCTTATGGAGATTTAAAGGTTTCTGGCTTTGGATTGAGTGTGTTGCCCTAGCAAGTAAACATATTAACTTCTATTTAGGTTCTATACAGTAGAGAGTTCTGTCTCTCATAATTCATTCATACCCATGAGCAGGGGGTTAGACTTCTCTATAAAACGGAATACAATATAATTTTCAACAATTTGTATATTTCTTCTAATAACATTTTTAACATATTGTGATATATAAATCAATTTAAAAACTGCACTGATAGAATGGAATCAATCATCAGACAATTTAGATACTAAATATGATTGCATAAATTCATTTGCTACAAAATAGGTAAGATTATTTTTTTGATGCTTAGTGTTATTGAAAGGCATAGAAGCATAGAATGTTAGTTTGTATAGATGTAATAAGTTTAAAATATTATATAAATATTTTACAGTAAAGAAGTTTTCATTTCATTGGCTCGATCTATTGAAAAAGATCAAGGTTTCATGATTATGATTAAAAACTCTAAGACTAGATACTCAAGAAAACCTAGAATAAGATTGGCATGTGAATGAAATGAAAATTATAGTCAGCTTAAAAATAAGGGCAATGTATAAGAAAAGCAACGTAAGAGAATGGGAATAAAAAAGTGTGGTTGCCCATTTGAGTTACATGAGATTAAGTTGATAATGGATGATGAATAGGGCATGAAAGTAGTTTATGGATTTCACACTCATCTACCAATAAAAAGAACATTCATTTGTAGGTCGATTAATTGAAAAAAAAAAGATTAGTTATTGATATGTCAAATAGTATGGTCAGATCCAAAAACATATTGTTAACTATAAAACAACATGATTAGAAGAATGTCAGCACTATAAAGATAATATATAATGAACATCAAAGACACAAATATGTTGAGAAAGTTGATAAATCACAAATGCAATAAGTAATGAAGAAGTTGAGTGATTGTTAATACTTAAAGTGGTATAGGACTGACGAGTCAAGTGACTGTGTAGAAGACTTGTTTTTGGCTCATCTTACTGGTTTAGAGCTATTGCAAGTCTTCCCAAATGTCCTGATTATAGAGTGCACTTATAAAATGAATAGGTACCGTATGCCACTGCTTGCAATTATTGGTATGATTTTTATTGAGATGATATTTTCTGTTGCATTTGTATACAAGAAAACTGAGGATTCTAAGAATTACATTAGGGCACTGGATTAGTTAAAAGATTTTATGCCTACTGATAAATTTTTAATGTTATTGTTACTGATAGAGAGTTAGCATTAATGAATGCCATAGAGGTAGTGTTTTCGATAACGATCAATCTTCTTTATAGATTACATATCAATAGAAATATGCTTGCCAATTGTAAGAAGTTTTTTTAGTGAAAGGAGAAATATGAGGTATTCATGTTCGGTTGGAGTGTACTGGTATATTTATCAACTTATGATGAGTACAAAGGTATACAAACTTGTTAGAAAATGATTAACCAACTTATTCAAGTGCATTAAAGTATGTAAAAGATCAATGGTTTGCAAAGTATAAGGGCAAGTTTATTGTTGCTTGAACGGATAAAATAATTCATTTTGAAAATGTTACAATAAATAGATATGAGTTATGTTGCTTCGTTAAGATTATTTATGGCTTTTAGTGTTTCATATCAAATCATTAATATACCTTTATTATTTCGTTTAGGGTTGATAATGCACTTCGAAATTAAAAAGGCACCTTGGATCATCTCAAAGGGTTTTTGAATCATCATGAAAGATAGTCAATGCACTTATTAAGCTCCAACATATAGAGATCAAGGTTTCATTTGAGCAAAATCTTACCTTTGTCAAGTATAATTTCAAGCCTTCATTGTTCAAAGAGTTACAAGGTATGGTATCTAAGAGCGCACTGAATATAATATTAATAAAGGTAAAGTGAGCTAATCATTTTAGGAATGATGCAAATACTTATGGTTGCATGATCAGAAGGATGCATAGATTACCTTGTGCTTATGAAATTGTAGAGCATATAAGGGTAGGAAGTTCAGTTTTTTTATTTAGAGTGTATTTGTATTGGAAGGAGTTGGATTTAATGAAAAGTCAAGATAATGCAATATCTGAAGAGCTAACCATCCAATTTGAGGTTGATCAAATTATAAAATACTTCAATAAATGTGATGAGTTTAGTAAGTTGGCCATGAAAAAAAATTGTGAGAACTTGGTGATCTATCCACAATTGCCTTAATGCCACTATTAGAGATGGCTAAGCCAAAAGGTAGCAAAGCAATAAATTCAAATACCTTTACACAACATGACTCGTCACACTGAAAGATTATGTTATCAACTCAAGATAGTACATCACCTTCAACCACTATAAATTCAATGAAACCAATGACACAGATCGCTAAACTTCCTATTCACCGACCCAATGATAAACTAAAAATATTTATATGGTTTGCTAATGGAGTTATATCTATATATACAAAGCATCATTAAAGTTGAGGCGGATGGACATTATGATTTTGTTTTATTGCTAGATTGTTTAGATTAGAAATACATGGTTGGGTATAGGTGCAACAAGATTTAATTGAAAAGTTTAATCAATTTCAAGGTGATTATATGAGTTTATATGGATCTATAAAGAGTGTTGAGGAATTGTTATAAACTTTATCATGTTTTGACACTTTTGCCTCATACGATAAGTGGATGACCCTACCCAATATGGGTCATTTGATTGCCTCCTGATATAACATCATGCTAGTTCACATTAGTTTGACATATCTCTCTATTAGATCTATACCACTTGCACTATTGGAGCACAGATAAGTTATGATTGGATTTGTTAATGATTATTATTTTATGCCAATATTGTTAATTAGTGTTGTTATTTATTATTTATATTTATTATTCCTATTTTATGCAGGTGTTAATGACATTACATAAATAACATTCATATTTTATGCAAGTGTTAATGAAACTATTATCACCAATGCCTCCTATTGCATGCAACTGGTGTAAGATTCAACATGATTGTGCTTAAGGGTGAAAGATTCCTTATATACCTCGTATTGTAGATTTCAAGTTATTATTTAGTACAAATTCTAATATGGTGACTTAAGAAACAAAACACATTGATTTTTTTTGTAATAATTGTTAACAGTTTATATTAATGTTTATGGTTTATATTTATTTATGTTTTATATGTTGAATATGTTATCCAATGAATAATTGTTTTTATTGCACATGTTATCTAATAGGATGTATATATTGAACAGGTTATAATATACTAAATATTTTATAAATATAAACAAAATGAACTAAATATAAAATTAGTATATAAACATAATTAGCTAAATATAAAATTAGTCTTAGTACAGTCCCTTATCCCTTGGCCTCTCCCTCTGCTTCTTGACTTGAAGATATACATTTGGTGGAAGAGTAAGCTTTACTATCTATGTGGAACTTTTTGAAAAGGTCGATACTATCGTCTCTACAAAGGGTGAACAAGGCGAGGATGATGCTATGGTCAATCTATTCATGGTGAGGATGATGCGGACACAAGCAGGCTAGAAGGTGCTGATATCAATGAGATTGGGGATAGCATAGGCACGAACAGGCTAGAAAGTGCCAATATTGATAAGAATATGGATGGAGTAGGTATAGATGGCCTGGTTGATCTAGGCTATCTAAATGCTTGAACTGATGATATAAGAGTCAATGTCGATTTAGATTGACTATTGTTGCCTACAGTAGTACGATCAAATCGATTTAATATGGCTCATACTTTGATAAAATGCATCTTTCTAATAATTAATAC